GACATAGCATAGGCTATATGTAGTAATATACAGAACCAGAGTGAAAGAATACACGACATAGCATAGACTATATGTAGTAATATACAGAACCAGAGTGAAACAACACACAACATAGCATAGACTATATGTAGTAATATACAGAACCAGAGTGAAACAACACACAACATAGCATAGGCTGTGTATATGGTAAACATTAATATTCCCAACACATTGCAACATTACACATGTATGAGTTATTATAAGACTGAAAATGTTTGTGAATCATATGAAGAGATATGAGATTGAGTATTTTACCAGAAGACTGAAATATGTTAGAATATTGAATATCTGTAATATATCAAGATCTAAAAAATGAGTATTTCATCATAAAATTGATAAAGTTTAGATTTTGATAATATTTTATAGAAGATTGAATATTTTATTTTTATTATGATATTGTATGATTTATTACAGGATATGGATACCCTCCTAGAGAATTATCAACAAAAGCATGAGACACCTCATTGCTTAGACAGTTGCTCACTGTCTTTGTCATCTCTTAATATAAAAGAATTACCTAATGTATTGTTAGGTTTCTCATGTCTTACGCATCTCAATTTAGATCACAATGAGCTTCAAAATCTTCCTTCAGAACTATGTGATTGTATTGTAAACCTCTGCCAGTTGTCCATCAATGGTAATGAGCTCACATCTCTTCCACATAACATTGGAAAATTAAAAAATCTAGTGGTTCTCTTAGCAAGGGAAAATTGTCTTCAAGATCTACCTGCCAGTATTTGCCAACTAGTTAATTTGGAGAGACTTCATTTGACTGGTAATCACATTACTTGCTTACCTGAGGATATCAAGTATCTTGAAAGCCTCAGAGAACTTGTGTTGGATGAAAATTATCTCCAGTCTCTCCCAGAATGCACTGGCTGTTTAACAAACTTGGAAATTCTAGAAGCCAGCAATAATGCTATTTCTAAGTTACCCAAATCATTTGGTTCATTGTCAAAACTTCAGAATCTCAACTTATGCGATAACCATCTTAAAAAACTTCCAGAATCATTTAGTTGTCTTTCAAATCTCCGAAACTTGGACATATCAAATAATCATTTGAGAATGTTACCTGAGATGTTTTCTTCAGCCATGCTATTGGTGAAGCTGTATTTGGACAACAACCAATTATGCAGCCTCCCCAGTTGGTTTTCCTGCATGAATAACGTGGAAGAATTGTCTGTTAAAGTCAACAATATCAAAGAATATCCTTTCTCAGAGATTTTTGGTTTCAAGTGTTCCAGATTAAAACATTTTGATTTCAGTGGCAATTACATTGAAGCTCTTCCTAGTACCTTTGGGTATCTCAGTAATATAAACTTTATAGATTTAGGAAGTCCACTGTATGAGCAAGAACGAAGACGAAACTTGAAGAATGGTAACTTCCTAAAATCCCTTCCCCCAAGTTTTGGAAATCTTCATCAATTGACAGAATTACATCTGGATGAGAATCAGCTTGAGTGCCTGCCTGTAAACTTTGGAGATCTGAAATGCCTGAGACTGTTGGACATGAGTCATAATGAATTGACTCATCTTCCAGAAAGTTTTTGTTTGCTGGAATCTCTGCAAGTTTGTATGATGTCCATCAATCATCTGATATGTTTACCCATGGACTTTGGACTACTCCAGCAGTTAGAAGACTTGCGCCTAGATAACAATCAGGTATTTTTAGGGTAAATCTATAGTTTCTGTTTGCCAGTACTTGATTTACAGTTTGTAATTTAGTATACATCTTAAAATACATGATACATATATGGTATATTCTGGTACAAGTATTTCCTGCAGTGCAAAGTTATGGGTTTTGCCTAATAACAGATATTATATTGCTGATTATTGGTCTGTTGCTTTCTGAACTATGGCTGCGTTTGACACAAAAATGCAAAATCCACAATCTTTAATGGCAAAAAAACACAAGACATTCCTAGTTTGACCCTGAAGAAGGAGAAAGGTCTATCTTTTGAAAGCAATAAGGTTATAGGGTATCATATTTTTGCATTCAAAACACAACATGGTTAGATAAAACAAAAGGTAAATGTTTACAGTGGTTGTGTTGGACTGGTGAGAGAGAGAGAGAGATCTGAAGAGAATCTTTAATGGTTTTTCTTACCAGTTTTCTGTGAACCCCTGTAAACTAGAACAAAGAAAGAACGTTAAAAACTACAAAATAAAAATAACTCCATAGTGTTAAAGCAAAATACCTCAACAACAGCATTATAGTATTTGAAAATTGCAAAATCTCTAAAAGAACTTGCCTAAAATCTTGATCAAAACCTTAGTCTTTGTCAAAATGTGTCTAATTGTGGTGGGAGGAGAGGGGTGAATAGTCTGACTTTTAATATAAAACAAAACACAAACATCAACAAAGCCAAGCTGCTCATGCCTAACTACCTTGGTCATGTGACTTTGAACCAGTTGCACTTGAGCACATGGGAGCAGGGAGACCCCAGGCCATTGTAGGATTTCTTGAAAGAAAAGACGACTGTATATCAGGATTTCATGAGTAAAGTCACAGCTATCTTTCTTGCAGGAGAACAAGTTTAATGACCAATTAGTGGATCTTAGTGCCATGTGCAGTTAGATTAAGGAGAAGTTGATTTATTTACTTGAATGACTGCATCCAAACTGAAGAGAAAAACAACAGAAATTCCAATACATGCATACCTCCTCACCCACTCATAGCTATTACTCAAATGCCATGGTTTTTTCCTTTGCCCATCTAAACATTGATCTGATTTTTTCTCACTTCATCCAGTCTTTTGTACCCCACTTAATTGCCATTGGCAATATTTGTCTCATGACACTCTCCACCTATGTCAATGCACCCTCTATCCTGGTACCATATATAAGTGCCTCATTCAGATAATGTTATTGTTACGTCTCTGGTCGTTTGATAATTTCCTATAAAAATTCTCTCCAAGAAACTTCAGCGATACAAGTCCTTTCTTAATTAAAACTAGTTTATTCTTTCTCGATACAACTTTGCAATACAAAGATTTTCCACAGTCACTTTAATGTTAACTACTTTTATAAACACATGCTATAATTCACAATGATTCATGCACTTTACTTACAGTGCCTACTGCTCGCTTGACTCAATTATCTATCTGCAATCTTTCTTTGCTTTATTTGCCGGGCTTATATACAAAAATAGAGGGTGCCTGGAAAAGACTAGAGTTACCAGGAACAGTCATGAACCTTCTAGAAACTCCGGCATGCATGCTTCCAGCATCGTGTGACTTCTGCTGTCATAATATTATCACTTTTTTCTTGACAAAGTGTCACTAATGGGTTTCCTAGTATTATGATTGTTTGGAGATTCTTTGACCATTATCAGTTTTATTTAGTTAGCTCTCTCTTATCCCACCTCTGATACATAGCATCATGCAACAACTGGGGAGGAGTCACTCTCAGTTGAGACTGTCAGAGCTCTTATTCGTAGTGAGATGGAGACGTATTTGGATCTGTGATGGTCCTCGAGAGGTCTCTGAGACCACAATTGTTGAGGGCGATCCTCAACATTCTAAAGATAATTTAAATTTGTTTTTTCTTGCACCTTCTATTAGTCTGTTGGCTTTTTAGCCTTCCTATTGACAGTGGTGAGCTTTTGGACTTGTATTCCTGGGGTCCAGGGTTCAATTCCCTCGGGTGGATGCAATGGATGGCCCAATATTGCTTTGCTGTAACAAAACAAATTTACCTCACAAAAGGTTGTTCCTATCAAAGATAATCAACACAGTCTTTAAAGGAAAAAGAAAATGAAAGAGAGAAAAAAAAAGGCCACTTTGGGATAAGCTGGCTTTGATTTGTTTTGTTCTGCTGGTTCTTCGAGAGTATGATGTTTTGGGCTTTTTCCCAGTTGCTTATGAGCCTGATCCTTTCTTGATGACTGAAAGGTCTGGGAGTGAATTTTTTGTTTTTCTCTCCTTCCACAGATATTGTGGTTCATGTTGAAAGGTTTACTTCTCAGTTACATGAAGGAACAGTTATGCCTTATCCAACACATTATTGGAACTTGGTGATTTTAGCCTACCACTGCCATGTGGAAGCATTTTCTGACTCTCAAATAATACTTCTGGTCCTCGAATTTTGTGGTTCTAAGAGTTTGTAGCTAACCTGAATAACTCTATGCCCCCTGATGGGACAGGGTAAATCTCTGGTCTTCCAACTCTAAAATCCACCATGTTGTTTTCTTTTCACTTCAGTTTGTTGTAAGACTCTCAGGATCACTAACTTCATTGATGATGAGTTAGATCCCTTTCTAGCATGTTGGTTAAAGTTTTGGCTTCTGCATTCCTCCCTGTTGTTGTTGGAGTTCTGAAATTCATTGGCTCCAACAGGAGGTCATAGTTCTGCCCCTATATGTGGGTCCTGACCCCAACATCAGCCTCTTAGTACATGGGTACCCAGAATAGATTCTGTCTATATCCAAGGGTTCCACTTTTTGGTCAGATCACCAGTGGTGTTGGTTATTATTGTATGCCTCCAGGGTATGTGGGGGCTTGGCTCTAAGAAATTATAGACATGTGGTAACATTAACCATGGATCCAGGAGAACTGCAGGTCCTTAAATCAGGATTCATCATTCAGTTCATATCCTCACCTGTATTATCCACTCAACCTGTGGGGTTTCTATATCTCGCAAATCATTGCATTTCTAGGGCTATCAGACTTTGGCTGGTCTGGGGTAGTGAGTGAGTCGTTCTTGTTCATCTGATTTTTATTCCTGTCAATTGTTGAGCCTATCCAGACAGGAGATTAGAGTCCAGTCATCGATCTCTCTCGTCTATATCCATGCATAGATTCTCTGAGGTTCACAAGTTACTCATTCATCAATCTGAGTTGACATTTTTTATTGGGATTGTAGATGTCCACATTTGCTGTCATCGACTCTTATCTGCACATTGCCATAGTGGTGGAGTCCCACCACTATTGGCATCTATTGTGCACAAGGGTCAGGTACTGCTGTTCCAGGTTTTTTACCTTCACACTTGCATTGGTTTCAAATAGGTTCTGTGATATTGTACAAATTTTCTCATCACTTCCATTCCATTGCATTGTGCATACACCATTTCAGGGATGGCTGGTTTCATTATTTCATCATTTGTCAGAACATCACATCCTGATTCTAGTTTCAGAAATGACCAAGGCAGGCTTCATTTTCAGGGTTGAGACATCTATCCTTGCTCCAATTCCATATGTCATCAGTCTTAATATTTTTTATTTTTCATCTCATCTCTCAGTAGGCTCAGTTGACTCTCACCTGGCTCAATGCTATGGAATAAGACTCAGATTCTTACTCACCTCTCCTTCTCCAATGGCACGGATGGTTCTTTCTCTTCTAGGAATGTGGGTATCACTCAAATCCCTTATGCCTTTGGGATGAGAGCACAAGAGATATGGATTCCTCTACAGACATATACCAACAGTCAGGAATTCTAGGGTCTATGTACGGACAAAGAGACTTCCCTACACAATGTTTTAGTTCTTCTTGCTCTTCAACAGGCAGTGAATGCCTCATGGTATGGGCTTATTAAGGAGAAAACCGTCAGGCTTCCTCTGCCAGTTTTGTGGTGGTGTCTTGTGTTTCTAATCAAGGAGGCACTTGGTCCAGGGCTCCTTGTTTTCAATTTTTGGACTTCCTTTCTCAGGACCATTCCTATCTTATTACCCTACTAGCTTGTCATGTTCTATGGGTAATGCCTGTGGTAGCAGGTCAATTGTCTCAATCCTCACTGATAGATGCTGCATCGCAAGGTTCTGTTGGATTGGCTGTAATTTTGCAACTCTTATTGGTGGCTTGGCCTCTCATTGGATCACCCAACTACTGGCAATTTGGTCTACAGTACCTCATCTTCGGAAATTGGCAATGGATGCATTCCATCAGGGCAGGATGGCCTTCTCTCCCATTCATATGTCATGCAGAGTACTAAATATGATTTCTTTCAATTCATTGTCAGGTCCTGTTGATAGCACCAGATTGGCTGTTACACCCTGGTTTTTCTTCTGCAGTACCATCTGGAATGCTTAACTCTTCCATTACTTTTCGGCTATATCTGTGACTGCAACCATGATGTGCCTTGGTACACTCGACTATCTCTAGTTTCAGGCATGGAGATTATGCAGTCTTTTGTACAGCATTGGGGTTTAATTTCTAATGTTTTCATGTATCTGTCTCAGTTTTTACTTACTCTGAGAGAAACATTTGTCAAAGGTAATGACATGCATATCAGCAATGGTGTATTGAGAGAAGGTTGAACCCATTTTGGGTAGAAGTACCAACCATAACTAATTTTTTTACTTGGCTCTTTGGCAGAAGTTTTTGCATCTTCCACAGTTGCCCTGTTTAAGGTAGCCTTATCGACTACTGTTCAATTATCGTGACTACATAATTTTTGAGTCCCCAGGACACTCAGCATTCCTCAAGTAGCTTTGGGTCTTTGGTCCCAAATGACCATTCCAGTTACCTAACAGGTATATTAAGATTACAGTACAGGCTCTTTATCAACACCTGTTTGTGCCCTGACTCTTACATGCCATATATCTCTTTTACCTGCAGGTTTATTTTTGTGGCTGCTGACCTACAGACATCACTGGTTGGAGTGATTTGCCCTGTTTGTCCACAGACCACTTTCTCATTCTCTCTACATCCTCAGATCAGCTCTTCTTACCCAAGACACTGCCAGACCAGAAAGGGGTTAAAGTCCTGGCTCTAATGCTTTTTAGACTATCTTTGAAGGAAAGGATTCTTCTACTTAGATTACAAAGAGGGGTGAGTCTTTTCATTGCTACCTTTCAGGGTCCCTTAACTTGTGTAGCCCAGCATGGCCAGGTGGTTAGGGCACTCGACTCGCAATCTGAGGGTCACGGGTTCGAATCCCCATCACACCAAACATGCTTGCCCTTTCAGCCATGGGGGCATTATAATGTGATGGTCAATCCCACTATTCATTGGTAAAAGAGTAGCCCAATGAGAATTTGTCCCATCCTGGGTCCTTGGTTGAGCACAGTGTTCCACATCCTTCCCATAATTCTGGAGGCAAGCGGAATGTACCTTGCCCACATGATTGGGGAGTGAGGATGAATGCTTATAATTCCAGACTGGATGATTTTTGTTTCCTTTGGTTGAATAAGGCATACACGATCCTGTCATTCCAAGCCTAGGGTGTTACCTTTTGGGGTTCTTCAGATGGAGGAGAAAGTTTGTCCACTTTGGTGTTGCTTACTTTCTCGTCGTGATTCTGGTGGCTCAGAATGCATCACTCTATGGCTATAGGTTGGGATCCACTCATAAGTATATATAGATATCACGTTGTGGTCCAATTGCCCCAGCCACCAATGTGGGATACAGGGACCAAGACATCTTAATTCCAACCCTGAGTAGTAGAACCTTGGCTATCTGGTTGGGGCCTGGCCAGTAGTGATGATAAATCATGTAAAGTTCCACCCATAGTACATGAATTAAATTCTGGGTGAAGAGCTTACCTGTTCTGGATGTATAGCAATTCCTTCACTAGGATGCCAATCTTCTATTGTGAGAGGAGATTAGTATATTTTGTTAGTTAACATTTTCTTAAATCAAAAATGTATTTGCAATAATACTTACCTCCTCTCACTCTCCTGCCCTTCCTCTCCTCTAAGAGCCAGTGTTATACTGGGATGGAGCCAGTCTTGAAAAACTGATAATATTTACTTATATACAGTACCAGGATAGAGGGTGCATTGACATAGGTGGAGAGTGTCATGAGACAAATATTGCCAAGGGCAATTAAGTGGGGTATAAAAGACTGGAGCAAGTGAGAAAAAATCAGACCAATGCTTAGATGGACAAAGGAAGAAACTCTGGCAGTCGAGTAATAGCTATAAGTGTGAGAGGAAGTAAGTATTATTGAAAATACATTTTCAGTATAGGAAAATGTTAACTCTCAAAACACTTATGTATTAGCCCTATCACTAGGGCACTATCATGTACCACAAACTCATATCTATATTTATATATTTGATTAATTTATTCAAATATTTTCCAGTTTCATTCAGCAAAATAATAATGTGGAAAAGTGTAATTGAAGCTTGTTTTAAACAATGTAGTTTTAGGATTTTTGACAGTAGTTTTTACTTTGCTTTTTAACCTGTTTTGTCATTGATCATGCATAATCCTTTCTCAAATTTCATCAGTTGAGCTAGTAACATTGACCAGAATGTAACAAGACATTCTATAATGGGATCAAGTCCAAACTATCTAAACAGCCTCTCAGAATGAGACTACCCCAATCACTTTTTGTGGGTCAGATGATGTGTTGTATCCAAAGCATTTTCTATATTGCTTCCAAATGCAGGCATGACTTCAAAATATTGTTTGAGTAATGGCACTTGTGTGATGAGTTTTTTTCATATTTTAAATTAAAAGGCACCCAACGAATGAATGCCTGTAATGAGTAACATTCTTCAGTTCAACCAAGAAATCCAGATCAAGATGCTACCTGAACACAGTGGATATGCTAGCCTGCTGTTCTGAATAGCTGTTAAAGTTTTGGATTTAACATTATGTGTGTTTCACATCAACTTTGAGGTGAGGCTTGCATCTAAGAGTCCTCTAGTTTTTCAGCTCCTCATGCACTTCTAATGTCAATGTTGTATTCACTAACCTCTGTGAAATGCAGATGTGGTGGCTGCTGATCTGTGTAAAGTTCTATACAGATATGTTAGGATTCAGTTGCCCTGTATTACTCACATTTCTAGAAAAATTCCAACATTCCTTTGGCCCCGCAGTGTAACAAAACCAGTAAATCTACATCAAGATCAGGTAGATGTACCTTTGAAATACAGAAAGCCTTTTCTTGTTGAGTTGTCGATAACCATGTAATTTAAAGTTCTGAATGTACTTAATGCAGTGCACAACATGTGTCACTTACCCAGAATTCTACACCTTTCATGTGACTTGTTGTACATGATTTAGATTTTTTATTGACTTCTCTCACTATGTATTTTCATGTCATTGGCAATAACTGCTGCAAATGTTTCTACCTGTATAGCAAAAGTTCTACAATTTCTGTGAGACCTTATTCATGTAGTTTGCCTGTAGCATGGAGGTATCATTGTCAGTACTTATGATTACCATATTCAGTCCATTAATTCTGCTTGTCTGCTGGTGTATTGGCAGGTTGCCTGGGAACTTTGGATACTTATATGCATTTTGCTCATCACAGTCTAGCAAACAAACAAACAAAAAGTTAGTTTTATTTAATGTCTCAGTTTTCCCAGTAATGTTCACAAGTGATGGAGTATTTTATGTAATGTTGACTCAGCTTTCCCAGTAATGTCCACAATTGATGGAGTACATTATCTACTGTCTCAGCTTTCCCTGTAATGTCCACAAGTGATGGAATACATTATCTAATGTCTTAGCTTTCCCTATAATGTCCACAAGTAATGGAATACTTTATCTAATATTGTCTCAGCTTTCCCAGTAATGTCCACAAAATATGGAGTACTTTATCTAATGTTGTCTCAGCTTTTCCTGTAATGTCCACAAGAGATGGAGTACATTATTTAATGTTGTCTCAGCTTTCCCTAGTAATGTCCACAAGTGATGGAGTACATTATCTAATGTTGTCTCAGCTTTCCCTATAATGTCCACAAGTGATGGAGTACATTATCTAATGTTGTCTCAGCTTTCCCTATAATGTCCACAAGTGATGGAGTACATTATCTAATGTTGTCTTGGCTTTCCCAGTAATGTCCACAAATGATGGAGTACATTATCTAATGTTGTCTCAGCTTTTCCTGAAATGTTCACAAAAGATGGAGTACTTTAGCTAATGGTGTCTCAGCTTTCCCAGTAATGTCCAGAAATGATGGAGAACATTATCTAATGTTGTCTCAGCTTTTCCTGAAATGTTCACAAAATGTTGTCCTCGTATAGTGTGATGGTTTATTATATGGTAACTGATGCTGAAGATTCTCAAGACTCTAATACTCTGCATGTCATTTGTCTACATGTAAAACTAGAATAATTGTCAGCCTTAGAGGCTAAATATAAAAATACTACTATAGTTTTAAATTGAAAAATGTGAACTTTCTGCTCTGTACACTTTTTTTTTCATTGCTTATGAAAATGGCTTAAGTGAAGGGATGTGTTTGGTATAAAGTGTTGTATACTTGATAAATATGACTTTCTTTTGTTGTTAAGAAAAAATTAACACAATGGGTAACTTATGCTGTGCACACCTTGGGTATTGAAAACCTGTTTCTAGCATTATAAGTCAACAGACTTACTATTGTACCACTAGGGGTCATGATTTTCTGTTACCCTGTTTATAGTAATGTAGAGTTTATCTAATTTCTACTGAAAAATGTTTTCTATTAGAACTTGATGTAAATATATCACATGAAAAATCAATACAGGATTTATACAGACAAGTAAACAGTTTTTTCTTTGTTATTTTGTTAGCATGATGTTTACCATATCTATTTTTTAGCTTAAAGAGCTACCAGAATCCTTTGAGAAACTACAGAATCTGATCACACTTGATCTTTACAACAACAAGCTGACCGTGGTTCCTCCATTTCTAAAATACTTGACTAAACTAACCAGATTGGATTTGGAAGAGGTAATTTATCCATATTATAACTAGAACAATTAACAAATCAGTGAGGTTGAACTTTAAAGTGACTTATGAGAGATACAATAAACTACATAAAGAAACTCATCTGGTTTGAGTTGTAAAACATAATTCAACATATTTATAATCTAATACTTGAACCATATTGGACTATAGAAGATAATTCAACAGGTTTATAACCTAATACTTGACTAAATCCACCAGGTTCGATTGTAGAAAATAATTCAACAGGTTTATAATCTAATACTTGATTAAACCCACCAGGTTACTCGGTAGAAGATAAATCAACAGGTTTATAAACTAATATTTGACTAAATCCACCAGGTTGGACTGTAGAAGATATGTTGAATTATCTTTTACATTCCAGCTTGGTTGATCTAGTCAAGTATTAGGTTATATATATGTTAAATTATCTTCTACAGTCCAACCTGGAGATCTTGGTCAAGTAATAGGTTATAAACCTGTTGAATTATATATATATATAACCTAATACTTGACTTAGGTTTAGTCAAGTATAAGATTTTAAACCTGTTGAATTATCTTCTACAGTCAAATATGGTGGGTTTAGTCAAGTATTAGGTTATAAACTTGTTGAATTATTTTCTAAAGTCCAATATGGTGGATTTAGTCAAGTATTATGTTATATATATATATTGAATTATCTTCTGTTCAATTATCTTGTACAGTCTAACCTGGTGGGTTCCCATATTGGACTGTAGAAGAATAAACCTGTTGAATTATAGTCAAGTATTAGGTTATCCACCATATTGGACTGTAGAAGATAATTCAACAGGTTTATAACCTAATACTTGACTATACTTACCATATTCGACTGTAGAAGATAATTCAACAGGTTTATAACCTAATACTTGACTAAATCCACCAGGTTAGACTGTAGAAGATAATTCAACAGGTTTATAATCTAATACTTGACTAAATCCACCAGGTTGGACTGTAGAAGATAATTCAACAGGTTTATAACCTAATACTTGACTAAACCCACCATATTGGACTGTAGAAGATAATTCAACAGGTTTATAATCTTATACTTGACTAAACCTACCATATTGGACTGTAGAAGATAATTCAACAGGTTTATAATCTAATACTTGACTAAACCTACCATATTGGATGGTAAAAGATAATTCAACAGATTTATAATCTAATACTTGACTAAACCTACCATATTGGATGGTAAAAAATAATTCAACAAGTTTATAACCTGATACTTGACTAAATCCACCATATTGGACTGTAGAAGATAACTCAACAGGTTTATATCCTAATACTTGACTATACCTACCATATTGGACTGTAGACGATAATTTAACAGGTTTATAACCTAATACTTGACTAAACCCACCATATTGGACTGTAGAAGATAATTCAACAGGTTTATAACCTAATATTTGACTAAATCCACCAGGTTGGACTGTAGAAGATAATTCAACAGGTTTATAACCTAATACTTGACTAAGTCCACCATATTGGACGGTAGAAGATAATTCAACAGGTTTATAACCTAATATTTGACTAAATCCACCATATTGTACTGTAGAAGTTAATTCAACTGATTTATAACCTAATACTTGATTAAACCCACCAGGTTAGACTGTACAAGATAATTCAACAAAAGATAATTCAACATATATATATAACCTAATACTTGACTAAATCCACCATATTGGACTTTAGAAAATAATTGAACAAGTTTATAACCTGATACTTGACTAAATCCACCATATTAGACTGTACAGGATAATTCAACAAGTTTATAACCTAATACTTGACTAAATCCACCATATTGGATTGTAGAAGATAATTCAACAGGTTTAAAACCTAATACTTGACTATACCTACCATATTGGACTGTAGACGATAATTTAACAGCTTTATAACCTAATACTTGACTAAACCCATGAGGTTGGACTGTAGAAGATAATTCAACAGGTTTATAATCAAATACTTGACTAAACCCATGAGGTTGGACTGTAGAAGATAATTCAACAGGTTTATAATCAAATACTTGACTGAAACACCATTTTGAACTATAGAAAGTAATTATACTAAGTTTTAACTTGACACTTGATCAGAATCACTAGATTTGATTGTAGGAGGTAATTTAACTCATTTGTAACTTAATACTAAACAAAACTTATAGGCTGGCATTGGAGAAGGTAAATTACTGAGTTCTGTCAAAGTAAACTTGGAGGAAGTAAATAAAATCAATATTATGTTGGTTTTTGTTTAAAACCAAGAATATTGTTTTTCCATTTCCTAATTTATAACTTTCTGTCAAACCATAAAGATTTTTCTCTTAACCTACTCCTTCATGTCTTTAAAACTATGGCAGTGTTTTTATTAACCTAATTCATAATAATCTGTTTTTAAAACCATTATTATAGTTTTTATTAATCTATTTTACAATTTCTTTACAAATAATGTCACTAATTCCATTGACATCAACTATAAGAGAGAGTTTTATGACTTTCTTTTTTTTTTAGAACTGTTTTGGGCTCCCTATGAATGAAATACCTCACATATCCTTTAAAGCAAATTATGCCCCAAGAGACCCAGCTCTTAAAGACAACTGGCGTGGAAGGATACGGGCAGATGTAATCAACATTGAACCTGTTGAAGTATGCTATAACCTCGGTAATTAGTTAAGATAAGCTAAATGCTTAATGTGAAATGTATTGTTTGTCATAGAACTAAGTGCATAAGAAATGCTTTATTTAAATATTTCTATATTTTCTACAAATGTCATTGTCACTTTTATGGATGTAATTGGAAGTTTTTATCGTAAATAATAATGATTTATGTGCTTTCATTATACATAAAAGTGTCTACACTTTTAGAAAGTTATAAAACTGTTTAGAAATTAAAGGATTTTTTTGAGAACCAAATTTCTTAAGTGTTAATAATGTTTATCACTAAATACAAGTGTTATCTAATTCTTCTGAAATAAGTGACAACATTACCATTTAAATTCAGAATCTTCATTTATATATAACTATGATTAGCTTCTCTTTCTGATATAGTATAAAGAAGAAAGAATCGGTGGAGATGTTCATGGTCGCTTAAAACATCCACAACCAGCTCTGGCTGCAAGAGAGTCTTTGTGGCACAAGCATAATGAGTGGACATCAAGACAAAAATCAACCCCTCAAAATATGAACACTAGAAGGTTAGCACTGGAAGAATGCAATGGTGGAGATGTAGAAAATTATGACACTTTTATGGGTGAGTTTTATGTGTTTTGAGAGAACTGAACATACAATACTAGGAATCCAATTTACAATAGTTTAAACAAGTTGAATATTCAGTGATTAAATGACATTTATGATCTTTTAGAGATCTAGTAAACAGCTTTTTATTAACTCTTTCAACCTGGGTTCAGTCCCTGGAGACCAACCTCATAACCATTTTGTGCTATAACTTTTTAATTAATAAGTGAATGTTAACAAAATTTGGCAGTTCATTAGTTAACATTATGATGCTTTCATACACAAAATATCTAATTTTTTTTTATCATGTCTTAAGGTTTTAAAGTAATATTTCTCTCATGCCTTTTTTTCTTTTCATGTCTTGCCTATCTATTATGCAAAGTTGAAGCAGGCGAGGCATTCATTGACTTGATCATGACTATGAATTTGGAGGTGTAAGAAACACCATACACAACTACTATTATCCAAAGTAATTTTCATCTTAACATTAAAAATATTTTTATGCATCAGAAAATTTCAAAATTTCACATACAAAATTTTTATAATGTCCAAATAGTTATCAAACATTTCTTAAGAAAAACTTTGTATTTTATCTGTTATTTTCAGTAATTAATTTCTATACAGGTTTGGTGAATTTGACCAATATAATGTCCAAATAGTTATCAAACATTTCTTAAGAAAAACTTTGTATTTTATCTGTTATTTTCAGTAATTAATTTCTATACAGGTTCGGTGAATTTGACCAATCTCGCAACCACAATAAAAAATTAGGAAGTAAACATAAATTATGCATCTTTCATTCTAGAATGAACAAAAATTGTAACACAAAAACATAAATGTTTAGACTAAATAGCTTAAATCACATAAGATTATACTTTTATATATTTATTATTTTTTTTATATTGTCCTTTCACTTGTGCCTGGCTAACAGTACAGAAGTTACAGCAATGCGGCTCACGTGCACTCATGTTACCATATCAAATAATATAAAAGTGACCTTTGGTTTGTACAAAGTAACTTGACTTGGCTCTGTTTTAGTCGACTAGTATTTTGTAAAATACAGTCACGTTTCAATTATTATACATTATATATGTATATAATGTATATAGACTGTTGCTATTTTGAAATAAGCTCTTAAAGTTATTTTTCCTAAAACATAGAACAGTAAATAAAGAATTAAAGCAAACTATTATCTCTTCTAGTTATGACCTTTGTACTCAGTTACTGCTTGACTTAGGTTGCTAAGCCTTTAAACATTTTGCACGTAGAGGATATGAAACAAAATATTTTTTTGTAGGTTTTATATATACATTTGAATAACTAAG